TGTTTGATTTACATTTACGATTCCAAAGTTCGAGTGGAAAAATGAATTAATTCTGTTTTAATAGAAAAAATGTTGAAATTGTGATGAGCAAATTAGAAAGTATTTTTTTTTGTTTATGTCTGAGACAATTATGATCTGTTATAACCACAAATCTTCGCTAGTAGACCTAGTCATTGTTTACCGGTCAAAATCATCTTTTGCAAAAAGGACAAAGTCCACGCGACAATCTCGAAAGGTAATCTGGGTATCCGATCGCTCTGACGAAGAGCTAACGCTCGAAACGTCAGCTTTTTTCCCTTTACGGTGGCCAATTTACGTTTTGAACTCAGTTGTTAACACTAAATTACCTCCTATACTCTCCCACTGACGCAGCACCACAGTTTCTTTAGAAACTTACCCCCTTCATTCTGAAGTCAATTTAAACCGGTTAATATAGCGGTAAATTTCAACTTCAACACTTTCTCGAAAGAGCTAATGATTAGGCATTAGAGTTTTTTTAAGGCCACAAAGTAAAGTACATATTCTAAGATGGCAATGTACTGAATTGTTGCTTCGTGTATGAAAAACAAATACTTCCCTTTTGGAATGAAAGTTCAAAAATTTTCAAATTAATTCAGTTCACGGCGAGAATGAGTTTTTATTAAATCAACGTTTTTGGCCCAGTCTGGGTATCAGTCATTTGTCAATCGTGAAGTACGATCGTCCGAGTAAGAGCAGTCCTGAAAGGGTTTGTTATCGAAAATGGCGATTGGCCTGAGCCGAAGTCGTCAGAGTCGAGTGAAAAATTGATTTTTAGTTGAACGTTACAAGATCTCTTTGTAAAAGTTATTGGTCAGTTTTGTAGTAAATTGACTGTTCGTCCGTCGTTCAATCGGCAAGGCTATAGCTAGTTTGTCCTGTTTGGTCCGTATAAGAAAAGGGAAAAAGAAAAGAAAAGAAGAGAAAAAGAAATGCAAAAAAAGTTGGACGTAGCTAGGGTTCGAACCTTAAAGCTTCGGACTCAATCCTTTGCGCTAGGTACGCAGAACGTACGAACCGGCAAAGTTTTGAATGAAAATTCATTGGATGCATATATATTACATGTGCGTATTCTATTAATCTTCTGCCCTGTCCCCAATCTGTCAATATTGACCGGTGTACAAACACTCATCTAATCTAGCCCTTTTGTCGCAATTTTGGCATCGATAAGAGATGTTAAATTAACCCCTCTGCATTTTAAAACACATTGCCTTTTTAGTGCATTACTCTTCAAGTACACAACAGAAGGCACGTGCAGTTATAGAATGGCACCTATTACGAAAGGTTTTCAATTTGTTGACAGATCAAAACGCATATTCCGGCGCATTTGCGTGTGTAGCATGACGCAATTTTCGTCACAAACGAAAAACACTGGGATCTAGAAGAAAGTAACCACAACATGGCGGCCTTTTTGAGTCGCATTGTAAGTTGATGAGGATTGAACTGCCAATTCTGGTACCACAAGAAGAGCGAAAGTGGCTCTTCACAGATCTCGCGTATGATATCTACTGTTTGATGGTGCTTATATGGAAAATGTGCCTGAAAAGCAGTTGGAAAGCTCTTAAATGGAGACAACGTGAGACAGTCAGGTAAAATACTGGAGGTGAGCACTGCTCCATGGGCATAACAAATCATTTTATCTCTGCTTCCTGTCACTTTTAGTAGCGAAGCAAGCCTTCCCTCTTGACCGATGCAAAGGTAGCCGTTAGGTCATTGCGTTACTAGAGAGTTTTGGGTCCACGTTTGGAGTGTCAACTGCAAACGTCAAACCGCGGTCAGCAGTTTGTGGTTAGAAGTTAGAACTTTAAAGACTTTCGGCTTTTTAGATCGACGTCGGATTTCACCTGAAAAAATCAGCATGCACGCCGCCATCTTGAATAACACAAAGGATAGAAATCCTTTATTTCAAACACAAAATGTTGCTAAAAGATTGGTTTTCTAGCGTCCCAAACGCAATGGTTATAAAGAAAAGACTTCACTTTACATATATTCATAGGAAATACGTGAGAACTTTCGAACAGGACAACAAAAAGGGAGGGAGTTCAACTACCTGAAATTGCCTTGCCCGAAGTTCAAACGTGGACAGCAAACGGCAAATGTGACCGCTAGAGTCTGGTCACATGACTCCTCTGGACGTTTGTGGTCACACGTATTCAGAAACAAATGTGGATCTAAAACTCCCTATTAGCTATCTTAGAATTTCCCCGTATAGGGATGCAAAGGTAGTCGTAAAGTCATTACATCACTGGCTATCGTAGAGTTTTCCTCTATACTGATGCAAAGGTAGCTGTTAAGTCATTTTGTTACTGGCTATCCTAGAATTTCTTTATATACCAAGGCATAGGTAGCCATTATGTCATTGCGTTTCTGGCCATCTTAGAATTTCCCTATATACCAACGCAAAGGTAGCTGTTAAGTTATGGGGTAACTGCCTACCTCAACACCGATAATTAATAAATTTAATTAAATATATAACTTATTAATTACTGGCATTGAGGTATAAAATAAATGCGAACTTAACTAGAGGCTATAAGAATTTTACGTATATAGACAAAGAAAACAACAAGATTTGTGATTGTCATAATTCCCCTTACAGGCATGATTGACAGTAACTCAGATGTTTCTTCAATGGATTAATGTATTTTAACATCCCATAAAACATTAAAAAAGGTGAGTGTAGAATATCAGAATAGACCAAGAATATTGCACATTTCTTGATAGGTTTTGGGTTAAAATCATTTGTTAAGAGATTATTTGAGGAAAAAATTTCAGCTTAGAAGGTGACATAAGAAAAAGGAGACTATCCAAGCTGAACTGTGGTCAAGCTATGATATTCTTTAATGCTTTCATGGTATATTTTAAATATAGCATCTTTAGGTTTTCAATTTAATGCCACTTTGGTGAATAGTAATTCTTTAAAATTTATTTATAGCACCAAAATGTTTATGACATGATGTTGATTGATAAGATTGCATTATAAGGGTTACAAGGTACAAGTAAGATACATTTAGCTGCTATTGGTTAATATAACATTAATTTTTTTGGTTGAAAAGCAATATTCTTAAGCTTCTTTTGCAGATGAGTTCCAAGTAGGAAAATGGAAATGGAGCATTTGCAGCCAATTTTCAGGTACAGCAACAAAACTTTGTATAAATGACACAAGGCACATGTATAAATGACACAAGGGACCCCAAGTGACCACTTAGAAGCTCAATTCTTGGGTTTGCCAGAGAAGTCCTTTAACTCAAGAATTTAGAACATCTTAACTTGTCTGAACTTCAATTTCTTTCTATTTCTCTTTATTTTGCAGGTATTTCTGACCCCTTTGAGAAAGAGGTGATTACAAAATGTAAGCATTGAAGGCTAAGATGGTAAGACTTGGTCCCCTAAAATAAAAGAGAGGAGAGTTTGAAAACTGTTTTGGAAACTGGACTGTCTTGCTGCGCTGAATAGATCTTGAACTGTGTATAAGAGATGGGTGACTAACAGCTGACCTGCTTTGGAGTCAGCTTCACCCATAAAGTCTCTTCCTCAGCCTTGATCTGTGATGCTAAGACTTGGTCCACCAAAAAACAAAGAGAAGAGAGTGAAAATTGTTTTTGAAACTGAACTGTCTTGCTGCACAGAATGGATCTTGAACTGTGTGTAAGAGATGGATGACTAACAGCTGACCTGCTTTGGAGTCAGCTTCACCCATAAA